ATCGCTATGGGTGATGCCGGCTCCTGTAAGGCCTACCCGTACACCAAGGACATTAAGACCTGTACTAAATAAATATTTTAAATCAATTAAAGGTTGTAATAAAATAAAAGTTATTTTATTTAATTAAGAATAAATATTTTAATTCATTTAAATGGTATTGGACATCATTTAGATCATAACGTTTACAATATTTTGCTTCACGTCCCTCCAGTTACCTTGCTATTTTCTCCTTTACTTGCAGTTTTTCAAACGATGAACCTGGTAATTTCCCAGGTTAATCTAGAAATGCTTTTAAATTTTTTGCAAATTTGAAATTGTTTGCATTAAAAAATTATATACAATAAATGTTTAATAAAGCTTATAGATTATAAATGTATGAATTACAAAATTAATACTATCTAATATTAACTACATTTTAATTTTAGTAAAAAATTATTACATAGAAATTAGAGCGAAATATTTAATAAAGATGGATTACTTTCCATGTTTTATAATTTAAATTCCCTACCCTTCCCTTGTAAAGTACAGGGAGGACCCTGGGAATTTACAAAACAGTGAAAATAAGTTGTCCCTCTAGACCTACGACGCGCATACATTGTGATCCGGACCACATTAACAGTGACAAAACAGTGACTATTATAAGACTAGTCAGTGTGAGGCTTAATGTTAAAAGGTTTAAGGTTTTGTCACTCATAGTGTGGCCCCAAATGGCTCCATGTGTGCATCGTAGCTCTAGACAATATCTTAAGAATCTTAAATAAACAAAATTAACTAGAGCAAAATTCACAATTTAAATAACAAGTTAGTAATATACTACGTTATTAAGTTAGTACTGGACATTAAAGAAAGTAATTGCGCAATGCATTTCTTGGAAACTAAATTTCATAAAATTATATACTGGATTAATTTTGAAAAATTATATAAATTTTGTTTCCAAGAAATACTTTATGAAACATTTTCTTTAAGGTCATATAAAACACTTGGAATTGTTCTCGAATAAAATATCTATTGCATGTATATGATGAATTATCTACTTAAATGTGACTTCACATAATTTCTTAGGAAATTTATAAAGTAATCAATATTAATACACAGTATGTGGTCAATATTGCAATCCATGTGGTAAAGTGCCATATCATTTAAAATTAAAGTTGGAATTTATGATTAACTTTTATCATAATCCTTTCATAATCCATGCTAA